TTATTTACTTACATTTATAGTAACAAATTTGGACATTTACCAATATTATTAAAGTTATGTGCTTTATAAATTTTTTATTTTTCCGATAAAGTGAATAAATTAATACAAACGGAAATTTCAGGAATTTTTCATTATTAATATTATTTATTTTTATGGTGGTAATTAAATTTGTTTAATTTTAAACAGATTGAAGGGACAGAACAATGTCGAAAGGGTTCTCTGCCTAGAACTATACTTCTTCTTCCGATGGAAGAGGAACCTGACAGCTTCTTGATAGGTGCAAAACGTCTGACGTTCCATTTGGATAAGCAATATATCTCGGACCTTCCAAATTTCTTTGTTGTCACCGATTCAACAGAAGATAATTCTCAATTTGAGTGTAAGCCAAAATATTTGGATCGCCGGTTTTAGGCTACTTGGCTATGCAAAACATACAAAACAAAAATATGAAAATATTCACTTAAATTCACACCAAAATTATATTTATCAAAAATCCTTAGGATACTGTTAGACTGCAAAATTTTTCCAGGACCACTGTACGTATCAGTGACCACTTTCAAATTGAGATCACATTTAGAGAAAAGTCTTGTCTAGTTATAACACGGCTTCTATTACGGGATGTTAATTACTAAGATGCTATGGGTAGAGACGCATAACCGAAATTTTATTAACCAGAAAAGTCTAAATGTATTGATTTTCTTAGATCTAATGAGCGCCTTTTAAAAAATTCTAGTATGAACAATAGTATAGCGTTTGATTGGCCTTAATTATTGCCATAAATATGCCGACGGTATTATTATTAGAAGGATAAAAACTGGCAAACTTTATAGTATCCTGCCTAACGCGTTATTTTTTCTCCATCAAACAGTGGATCCACCTCAAGATGTCTTCGGTAAACTAACCCTGAATTCACCTAAAACGGCATCTCTTTTTCTCACCTTTCGACCACCGGCATCCCATCCAAGGCTGATAAAAAAATTCACTTTCGAATTCAGTACGAAAGAGACTATCGTCTTCGAAATTAGGAGTGATGATGTAATTATTTATCTGTACACCACACTTTTCTTTTTTAATATTTTCATGTCCTTGACTAATCTAAACGATCACTGGTCTGCTTTCGCTTAAGAATTCTTAAGCCCAAATGCAGAAGTTCCACGTTCACTGTCCGTTCTTATCCACCAGTTACCAGTTCATAACCACTTACCGTGTCCAAATGTGTTTATGCCTAGCTGTCTCCTGTTTCGGTCTCCATTCAACCAAAAATTCCATTCTGGTACAAAGGCCATCAGAGAATTGAGCCATCGTCTGAATAAATTTCCGTAACGCTTATTCCGACATAAATCGACTTTATGGGGTCATCCACTTTCACTATTTGCGTTTGTTAATAATACAACTTTTCAGATGGTTGAAAGTAGTACCTAATCCAATGTGATGGAAAGAATGGTGATGTCTACACCTCGAGTTGGTCTCGAGCATATGCCTTCGGAAATAGCTATGAGATTTGCGACTAGTACTCATCCCAGATTAAGGATTACCGGGGGGCGGGGTTCATCGTTTTGACTAACTCAAAGAAACAGCAATACTTTAAGTTGCTCAAAAGGGTCGTATCACATATATCATTTGGAAAATTCAGTGATTCCTGCCCAGAAACCTACGAGGTTTGCAGAAAAAAATTTATGATTGGCTTCACTTTGTCCGTAAGGCTTTCATGATTTAGCCATTTGGAAGCATTCTCCATTTAGCCTAACTATACTTACCTTGGCAAGTGGTTCAGGTTTAGGAAAAGGGGTTTTCTATTTAAAAAAAGTAGCACCAAGCCAAATATATATCCTGTCGAAGGAGAGGAATAATCAAGGAAATCGATTAAAGTTAACTTTTCTAGTTCTCGAGTGTTCCGATCAAATATGCTATTCTTGTGTTCGCGTTAATGCATATTTTCATATGTTTCTAATTGATAAAAATTCACAATCATTCACTCAAATAACAGCGTTGTAACATTCTCAATGAAAAAACTACTGACAAGTGTATATTTTGATACATTGCCAGTGAGTACATAAGGAAACAGGTGTAATTCCGTAATCGATTGCTATTAGCCTCTCAGTGGTTTATTTTCCTCTACTGTTCAACTTTTCCACTGCTTTAGCCTGATGTGCCAACTGATGCAATCCATTCCATAACTATGAGCCAATTGATCCATGCCCAAGAAGAAGCGAAATCTGTCCTTGAAGTGCATCCAAAAGGAAATTTTACATATCCCGGCAACTACAGTGTTACAGTTTTTACCAATGATGCCAGTGACAAAAAGCATATAATACCAATCATCATGCCAAATTTCGGTAATTTAAAACTTTCATTTATGTCGTTTATATCTTACTGCAGTTAGGTGTGACTCGATAATATATTATACATACATATATAATTTTTCAAATGGCAGGCGTCTTGATGGTTATCATTAGCTTTTTACACAGAGGGGAAAGAACATCAGTTGAAAAAAAGTCGAGAGGGGGAAGAGAGGAGTGTTTCAGATTGAAAAAAGTCGAGAGGGGGGGACAGAAGAGTGAAAAAGTCGAGAGGGGGGAACAGAAGAGTGTTTCAAAGATCAAAGTCGAGAGGGGGGGACAGAAGAGTGTTTCAAAGATGTAGGAGAAAAACACAAAGATAGAAAAAAGGCGAGGTTAGCACTGTGGAAATAGTCGAATATGGCATAGAGTGAGGTGATGGTAGTTTAAAGTGAGAAGTCAACTGCCAGTTAAAAAATTTTTTTGCCGTATGAATATACGTTGCCCAGGGTGCACCACGTGGAGGTAAGTCTATCGCACACCCCAAATATATACATATATATATATCGTTAATTCGGTATAAAAATAACTTGCTCATTGCTGCTCTAGTGTATTGAATTTTCAATTTTTAAAGCTAAACTAGCACAACCACCTAGATTAGTGAGATGTGATCTTGCTGGTACCGATTTGTGAAATAGAGAATGATAAAAGGAAAAAATAAGTTAAGATATAATTCTTGCAAGACAATATCTATACCAACTTTTGGCCAGTCGATTTCAACACTAAGTCCTACACGAATATTTATTTTTATCAGATGGCAGGCTTTGTGATAGTTATCATTAACCATTTAGTTGACTTCGAGCTTCACAGAGGGTAGGAACATCAAAGCCACAAGAAGCGGAGAGGTGGAACGGAAGATCGTTTCACAGATGTATGAGAGACAGACACCAAAGTTGAGAAAAAGGAAAGATGAGTACTGTAGAAAGTGGTCGGATATGATAAGCAGTAGAGTCATGATAGTTTGAAGTCAGAAGTCAACTGTAGGTTTATAAATTTTTTTGCCGTATGAGCATATGTTGCCCAGGGTACGCCTTGTGGAGGTAAGTCTATCGAACACCCCAGCCTACACGAATATAAACTTCAGAGAATATCTCTCAAGGAAGGAATTGTAAAATGAGAGATGTCAATTATTATTTAGAACTGTTGAACGTCTCGTGGAAAAGGAAGTCCAAAAGAGGAATTTGGTCATATACTCAGTCTTCTTATTTTTTGCGCTTCTTAGATTTGTGCTTACATCCGAGAATTCAGAATTGCATGGAGTTCAACGAAGTAAAGAACCAATATGTCCATTTATATAAATTTCACAATTAAATCGTATAAAACAAAGATCGAAATGAATGGCAAAATGGAAAAGTTATTTTGAGGCTTCGCCACCATCTCTCCAGCTCTCTTTAAGCTACTTGAATTGGGTTACCATGTCCAATACATGAGCTCGAAACTGTTTTAAGTTATTGATTTTATTATTAAAGACTTGCATGTATCAAGACGGAAATCTCCAAGCTTCACTTTCCTATTTCCTCTGTAAGTGCAATATGGAGGAAATGTACCGTCTTATAATAATCCATTCGTAATGTTGTCTATTGATCGCAGTAAAAGTGCAAAGGCGTTGATTAGGTACTATGGTTAGAGTGAAATAGAGAAGTTATTAGCTTAGGCAGTGAACAGGATAGGACAGCTTGATAAATGCGTAAGCACTGCCCAAAAGAATAAGATAACAAGGAAAGGGAAAAGAGTCTTTAGTCTAAGACACAATTAGGCATTTCTAATTTGATTAATATGACTTCAATAAGACTCAGATGTATTTGATATTGGATTCACAGTGGTAGACTGACATCGAGATATGGCGAATTGAGCACAAAATACCTCTTTCTGCCCTAAAATTCATTAACTAGTTGCAAGTTAAGCTGAATTCTGTGTTCTCTTTAGGATCATCATGGTCTTTGTTCATTAAAATATACGATTGTCTTGTGAATCTATTGTTGAATGTATACTAGAATTTTTTCTTTTACACTTCAAGGTATGATTTGTTCGATTTCACTTTCACTTTTAATGCCTAAAGATAGCTGTTTACTGGTAGAATGTTGTCGCGTTGAGTAAAATTTTAAAGAAATTTTTTGTAGTAATTTTTTTGATTTCACATACATATCCACTGACCTTATCTTTCAGATGTCATGGCTCCACGTGACATCAAATTCAGCATTTCTGAGTATACAGCCAAGTTATCTTGGGCAGAGCCTAAGCCCTTTGGGAATTCTTGCCGATACACAGTTTCGGCCATACCAACAAAAGGCAAAGGCGTTCAACAATCTATATTTGTGGAAGGCAATAGGTTCGAGGCAGTGATTAAAGATCTTTCTCCCGCAGTTGAGTATGAGTTCATTCTCTTTACTTCTTGCGGTACTGGTAAAAGCGTACGTACTGTCCTGGCCAAGGGAATGACCGGACCACGCGGTAAATTCCTTTAATTTTTTCAATTATAACTGTGCAAATGCCTGCACACTTTTAGTGCCTGGAGAAGTTCGAAATCTACAAATTGAGTTAATAAAAGCCGGAGTTGTCCGCCTGTCTTGGAATCCTCCGGTAGTTTTGAAAGGTGATTCACATACCTATACCAGTTCTTGTAAGCACTCCAATGCAGACGAAGCCACTTGGAGAGTAACGAATGACACAACGGTGACAATTGAACCTGTGGCTCCTGGACAATTCTCCTGTTTTGTTTATGCTACGAGTTCAGTAGGTGGCCATAGGTCAAAGGAGGGGCCTCCTTGTAAAAGTGTTTCCATCGATATACCATCTAATCGTACGTTGAATTTTTCAAATTTTCTAATGGCATATTTTTTATAAAATACAAACAAATTAAGAGGGAAAGCACTCTGAATAGGAACTGTGTTTATGGACTGAATACAGTGCTACTCCATTTCGAACTTGTTCTATTTTATTGAATATACCATTTTTTATTATTAACCAACTCGAATTTTCATGCTTCCAAAACCAGATTCCCGTTATGCATCTTCTCCCTCTTAACAAATATGGAAATTGCCATGTTTCACATTCTTACTGTTAATGACTACGATTACAGTTTTGCCAGACTATTTAAGTAAGATTACGATACACCCTGTTACCTCATTCAATTAGTTCATTTGCAGATTTTAACAATATCACTAGTAGATAACATAGGCTAAAGTGTGGCTCAAAATATACAAACCCATTTAAAGTAGACAAAACAAATATATTATAAACGATTGTCCTTTTTAGATTTACTGATGAGTATTTTATTAATAATCGATCATCTTGGTGAGTAAAGTAAATCAAGAGACGGCGACTAAGAGCTCAGTCCGTTTGTAGTGACGATTAGATACGTCTGGAAGTTACCCATTTATTCAATTTGTCTGATTCTCTTCTAGACTTATGGGAGTTTAAAACTGATAATTGGCCATATCATGCTAATGGTCACTTCAATTTTTATCCTTACAAGGGAAAAGCTAGGCTAACCCGAAGACCAAAAAAGTAGAATCCTTCTACTCTCGATCTTGGTATATGCTTTTAACTATCTCCTTCATCTATCGCATGAATGTGGACTGGTTTGGGAGACATGGAAAAAGTGGACAACTCCAAGTCTTTGTTTTCGACAACTCTGTCTTGAATTTTTACGGGCTTTTTAATAGCTGAGTTATAGAAGAATACGGCATTACATATACCGCTCAAGCCAATAATGCTGTGCTTATAGCCGTGAAATGGTCTGTTCCAGAACAGGACTCCTTTACCTCAACATACGTGATATTGCAAGCTAAACAGTCCATGTCCAAATCATATTCTCGTTAGAAAAAGTCCTTTCGAAGGAAATAGCTGGAGCAAAGGTAAAATATAATGAGTTCACTTGCGGCAATGTAAATTGCTCTTAGAGGTTTTAGAAACAAGGACTTAAGCAGGAGCTTTCTTCCTTATGAAATAAGAAGTATGATTCACAGTGTAATACCCAAACATAACGAAACTCAATTCTCGTGATTAAATTTATTGGCTTTATAACAAGATCCTATTCGCAAGAATCCCCACTTTTTATTCAACTATTTAAATCACTTGATTTTCCACACCACTTCTATTCATTGGTATCTCTTCATGTAGGAATTTTAAACATAAAAAAATCACTCAAAACAAGCTTTATAAAAACGTCAAAGTTAATAAAACATACACAAATTATTTCCTTCTTCAGTGTTTTCCTCAATCCCAACCGTTAGTATTAAAAGAAAAAATGCATCAACTATTGATCTGAGTATCGGACTTGAAGAGGACAATGGTATTATAGCAATAATAGTGACCCTCGATTCCTACCTAAGCTTTGCTTTCTATGCAGACAATATATCAGCTCCTGTGAATATTAAACATATAAGTGAGTATCTATTGAATGTTAACAGCAAATTGTCAAAAACTTTATTACTGGCAATTACATATTGATTATTTTACAGAAAACTCAAACATTGACATTAAGAGGACTGGATTAGCACACTTTCTCTTAACCAATACAATTGCGACCAAGACATATAATGTTATAGTGGAATACCTATTTTTCTCAACTGGAAATGTAACAAACGCGTATATTCTCCCTCCAGATTTCGGTTCGTTTCTATTTTTGCATTGTATTTGTTTTAATTTCTTTAAAATCTTTATTGGCTATTATAAAAGGCAAGAATGACCTGCAAAAAGAAGACATTTTATTGAGACGTTCTATAACATACTCCGTATTAACCAAACCCCAAATTAAACCATTATCAAAGTATCAAGACATATAGCGTGTTCCAGGAACAAATTGATTTCTAAATTCAGCTGTAGTTGAATGAGCATTATAACTAAAAAACAAGTTTATATTTAAAATAAGACCGTAATACAACAGTAGCACTAGAAAGAGTTATAAATGACAGATAAAATAAATTATATATTATTATCTGCATGACTTAAAGCCAAATAACATTTTAATAATAGTTTTAGAAAGTACTTCTCTGTTTTGCTTTAATTAGTATAATGGACTGGTGCGTTACAAGCCATTCTTTCTTTTACAGAATTAAGCCAACCGCGTAACATTAGTGTAAATAAGGAGGAAAAGTTAGATTCAGGTAAAGAAATTTTATGCTAAATTAAGAAACATTGCAATTGCGTTATATTGATTATGTATTTTTTCAAATAATTTTAGAAAGTGAAAATCAAAAATATAAACTCAAATTGCTTCTTGTAACCATTCTTGGTGCAATTTTATTGGCGCTTATTGTGGGTATCGGCCTCTGGCAATATAAATTATGGCGATTAAACAATGATCCGCTACTCAGGAAGTAAGTCGAGTAAAATTATTGAAGATCGATGTTATTAGTTAATTTAACGCGCAATATAATTATTTCTTTATTTTAGCGATGCCGGCAGTCATTAATTTTCGAACTTTCCTTAACTTTAGACTATTTGCATCTTAGATGTTGCTGAAATAAGCCAACAACGATTGCTTAAAGCAAATTAATAAATAATTTCAAAGACGTCAGAATTTTGACAATTTTCATTTTTCATTCGTTATTATCTCAAAAATACTTATTTACTATTGAATATCCGTCTTGAAAATACAGTATTACGTGTTAAACTAAAAACAGGCTGATAATTCAAGAACCTTCATAAATGATCAACTCTGATTGCTGAATTTGAATATTTTAAATATTCTGGTCGTGTAACAATGTAAATTATCGTAAACAAGAAACTGTGAATAATTTCAGAGAAGCGAGCGGTAGAAAGTTATTTTAGTAATACTCGAAATGTCAAGTTATTGATATGTTTTAAAATAATGACATTGGTAACCTTGATTACTGTAGAAGGATGTAGCTAAAACTGTGGCACAGCAAGTAAAAATTCTGTTGGTCTGAGCTTCTTTTTGATTTGGTAGCATGAAATTGCATAAAGTGATAACTTATTATTACGAAATTTCTGGTTACTCAAGGGAACAAAATTAAACGAAGCAACTATGTTAGCAAAGTGGGACCTGAAGTGGACAAAACCGTTTGGTCAGTAGGTACGTAAAAGCTTCAACCCGAATGAACCGATATTTTGATTACGAGTGTCTACGCATTGTCGAGAAAGTCATAACAATATAAGTCATTTGTTTCTTTTAAACTAATAGCATTTCTGACATGGCGGTCTATATCAAATTTCTCTCTCAAATATAAAAGTGGATGTATATCGTCTTATTCAGACTAGTTGAATCATTACAAAACGCACAGAATGCGGTTATTCGGATGGCCGGTTATTTGTTTCCAAAAAGAGTTTCATGAAAGACCCTGACAATAGAAAAATAATTAAATACACAATCTCCTTGGATGCGTGATGCCAGACCACCGATCCCATTTTCTCGCACCAATACTACATATCTACATGTTTAGGTTCTAATATAGAATTCGGCTGCGACAGATATAGTATTCTTACAAAAATTGGAAATGCTGTTGAATTTAGTTACCAATAATAAGTGGCCTTCCAAAGACAAAAGTCGAGTTTGGTAGTGACTAAAGTTATATCTATCCAGTTTGATCGGTATAGCAATGGGGCAATACTATTTAATGACTCACTATTCTTGAGCTCTAGATATAGAAATGAATCTGTTTCAAGCAGTAACGCAATCAAAAGTTCAAAAAACTCAGATGTATACTCTATTCTGATATTCATAGTTGTTTAAGTGGCCCATGGAGGTGGAAGAGAACACAGATTTAAATCTTCATACTTGAAGGCCGATATTAGTGACACTATAAGGAGACCGCTTATGAAAGTAAATCCCGAAAGATATGAAACAATCATAGCCCTTCACTCCTGGAGGCGTTTATTTACCTTCCTGAAATACAATATCAATTGCTATGCATCCTCCCAGGCAAACTCTTTTACCTGACTAAAAATCATCAAATACATAATTGGCGATCATTCAAACCGGAATTTTAGCTGCGTACCTCCACACTATTGAAGTTACTCCTAACAATGTATAAAATTCAATTCCCAAGATTTAAGAAAAAAGTTTTCTAGAAAGTATTTATAATTGATGGTTATCATTAGCCCTTTAGTTGACTTCAGGCTTCACAGAGGGGAAGGAACATCAAATTGAAAAAGTCGATAGGGGGGGGGGGACAGAAGAGTGTTTCAAAGATGTAAGAGACAAACATAAAGGTAGAACAAAGGTGAGGTGAGTACTGTGAAAATATTCGAATATGGCATATAGTGAAATGATGGTAGTTTGAAGTGAGAAGTATTTATTTATTTATATCAAATGGCAGGCGTTTTGATAGTTATCATTAGCCCTGGAGCTGACTTCGGGGCTTCATGAAGAGGAAAAGGGACATCAAAGTGACAAAAAGTCGAGATGGGAGACAGAATAATGATTCACAGAGGTAAA